CCTGCCTCCGATGGTCATTCCCTGAAGTCGGGGTCCGGCGCTGCCGCCGATGGTCATTCCCTGAGGTCGGGGTCCGGCCCTGCCGCCTATGGTCATTCCCTGAAATCGGGGTCCGGCCCAGCCTCCGATGGTCATTCCCTGAGGTCGGGGTCCGGCCCTGCCGCCGCCCTCCCTCTGATTCCCGTGGTCATTCGCTGACATGTGCCAGCTCTGGAGGGTCAGCCGGGCCCCCACGGACCCTGGCTTCCAGGAGCGGCTTGTCTAACGGGAAACCAGCCCAACGGACAGCGCAGTGTTCGTAGTGAGAGATGTACGTTGTGCCCATTTGTACGGGGAACGAAGGGCCGCGGATCCCAGAGCCACTTATGTTGTTGCAGGCTGTCCAGTCGGAACTGACTCATAGCTGAGCCTCAGGCGGGATTTCGGGGGCAGTAAACCGCTTGGGAAGAGGGTGCATAAGTGTCTCCCGCAGAGCGACTGCTGGATTCCAACCGATTGCCTTTGCAGTTGCAGCACAGCTTAAGAGCTCACTTACCGTATAACTGCCATTTTCTTTCAGTTTAGTTTTATCTCAGCCTTTAGGAAATCATCTCTTTGCCACACATGGACCTTGGTGGAGGTCTAGATCTGGGTGGAGGTGTTCTGGCATTAGGGCTTCATGGGAACGCCTTACCACCGGGCTGGAAATGGGACAGTTCACAACACTGCAGGTTCACAGATGGCTTGGGACACATATATGCCTCGATGACACTTCGAAACGGCCCTGCTTCTACTATATGTCAGATTACGAACTTAATTAACTTGTGTGCCTCCTCTTTGAGCACACAGTGGGCGGTTTGTGCAGCAAATAGGTGGCACGTAACTGTGGCCCTATTTAGCACAACCTTTTGTTTCTTCTTTTTGTCATCTTGGAAGCTGGGACCTGAAAGTCCTCATGTTCTTTTAGAACCTAAAATTATACCCAAAGTCTGCTGAAACACCCCAGCCACCAAAGATCAGCCCCATTGCTGCAATTTATAGGCATTTGAGAGAGAGAAACACACACACACACACACACACACACACACACACCATTTGAAATCTGTCTTTTTAGGAGTACAGACTCTTGCTGCTTTTGCACGTTGTGTACTGACCATTGCAGCTAGTGGCCTCCATGGAACCCTGCCCCTGAAAACAGTCGGGACTTGGGGGGAGGGGGGCGGCATGAAAGCTTTCTCTCAGCTCCAGCCTGCCCAGCTCATAAATGAATTCATCTTTGCAGCCACAGCAGGCCCAGCTACAGAACAGGCAGCTATTTCTGTTGAAGGAAAAAAATATTAATCACAACGCAGAAGAGGCTGCAGATGCCCCATGAAGAGGCTTAGTAAAAAAAAAAAAGTAATAAATAAAAAATAAATTTTAAAACTTCCTGAATTGTATGAGAGGATGATGTTGTGTGCTGTCTTAAGCAAAACTTAGTGATCCTCCAAGCAAATTTTCAGTAAATCACATGGAAGGAGGTTGCCTATCCTACTCCCATGGAGCATTTGGTGGATTTGAAGCGTGTTCCTCTGAGATTGTAGCACAGCTTCTTACCACTAGGTCACCAGAGCTTTAAGCCACCTTTAAAATTAGGTCAATAGCACAAATCAGGGGAGCTCTGGTGGCCTAGAGGCAAGAAGCTGCACTGCAATCCTAGAGATCTGCGGTTCGAATCCACCAGATGCTAAGCCGGAGAAGGAGGTGCAATCTCCTCTTGTACCAGTCAGATTCAATTTGACAGCACACACACATGCACAATAATAAAATTTAAAGAAACCCTTTATTTAAAAAAAAAAAAAACAACACACAACAACAAATCCAAGGAACTCTGTTGGTGTAGTGTATTGTATGTATGCTGCACTATTAACCAAAAGGGTCCATGGCTCCGCGGGAGGAACCTGGGGAAGTCTCCTGCTAAGATTTTTTACTCACTCAAAGATTCTCACCACTGGGCCAGCTGGCAGCATTAGGATGGATGGTGAAGAGATTGAGATTGTTGTTCACAGCTTCAGTTTGCTTGGCTCCACAGTCAACACACTTGGCACCAGCAGCCAGGAAATTAAAAGACATATTGCGATGGGAAAATCTGCTGTTAGGGACCTCTCCAAAGTACTGAAGAACAATGGTGTCTCTTTGGAGACTAAGGTGCGCCTGATACAGGCCATGGTCTTTGCAATCACTTGTTATGCATCAGAGAGTTGGACAATGACTAAGGAGGATAGGAGAATTGATGCCTTTGTGGTGCTGGAGAAGAGTATTGAGAATACCATGGACTGCTAGGAAAACAAATAGATTCATCCTGGAAAGAGTCAAACTGGGCTGCTCCTTGGAGGCAAGGATTCTAAGGCTCCATCTGACATACTTTGGACATGTTGCAAGGAGGGACAGGTCCTTGGAGAGGGACATCATGCTTGGTAGGGTGGAGGGACAGATCAGAAGGGGAAGGCCCCCTATGAGGTGGATTGATCCAGTGGTTGGGGTAATTGGGATGGGTGTGTCCGAGACAGTGCGATTGGCACAGTACAGAGCGGAGTTTAGGGATGTTGTACATAGGGTCGCTATGAGTCACAAGCGACTCGACGGCACATAACAACAACAACAACACTGGCCTGAGTGGGTTCTGACTCTTGATGAGCTGGATTTGCCTTTAAGGGCTGACCCACCACAACCAACTGGGCAGCCTGATGACCAGGAACGCCTGCAGAGGGCGTCCAGGCCCAGGACACGTCTGGGAACAAGCCCAGGGCCTGGATCTCATCAGCGATTTGGAGGAGGGTCAGACTGAAATACCAGGCTTAACTCAAGAGAGATGAATTGCTGGCAAGCCGCTGCTGAAGCAAAAAATATTTCCTTCCAGGAAAGTTGGGTTTTGGTCACTGCCCGAAATTCATGATGTATGGACGACTCGGATCCATTTATCTTCACAGCTCAAGAGGCATGCGGAGGTGGAGGAGGGAGGCTGGGTGTGGGCCCAGGCTCTCCCCCTCCTGCACCACCTTCCAAAGCTGTTTAGATTACAGAGCTGAGGATTCCTTGGAAGGAGAGTGCACAGGGGTGGGGATGTCTCCCAAGAGATGTGGGGGTGATGGAGGAGCCCAGAGTATATTCTTGACCCTGAGGCTTGGCCCACCCTGCCCTGCGCCAGGGTTGTGAGTCCCATCAGAGACCCGATAGTTCTGTAGCTTCCACGAGGCTAGCTAAGGAGCCAGGCCTTAAAACAGTCTTCTGGAAGAGTCAACTGGATTCCAAGAACCTTTCAAAGCAAGAACACTCCTGCAAGAGATCGGTGGGCCTCACCTCTGTGTTGTTTGTCAGACATGATTTTTCCTGAGAGAGGTCACTAGTTGTTAAGCAAGTTTGAAAGTCGCCTATCATGAGGTACGTGTTGTGAACACAGAAGGTGGTATGTTGGTTTGAACTAAATGAAAACTGAAAGCCAGCTGGCTGCCAACAAGCCTGTCCTGACCACCAGGCTAATGAGAAAGGGTCCTCTTTCTCCGGAGGATTCGAACCACTGACTTATTCATTAGCAGTTCAACATGTAATGAATGAACTAGGACTCCTTGAACTGGAGGAGTAGATCCTCAAGTGACTATTGACACCCCTTGAAGACCAAGTTTGAATGCAGGGGATTAATGTCCTTAGTTGCTAACTAAAAAGATTAGAGGTTCCAGTCTGCTGGAAGGTGCCTTGGAAGAAAGGCCTGGACCTACTGAAAACCCCAGGGAGGGAATAGAAGATGCTCATGGTAACCCTATTTCCCCTTTCCCACCTCTAATCACTGTCCCTCGAGCTGGGTTGTACCTCAGGTCAAAGGTAAAATGACACTAGTTTCTGCCCCTGGGTGGGGCCTCCTAGTCCTGACAGACCCGTGAAGCCAATAGAGAGACCAGGGGCCAGTAAATCTGTTCAGGTGACAAGTGTGGTTTGCCCAGTAAGATCCAGGACCAGCATCACTGTGAATATATTATGTTGGTTGGTACTGCTTCCCAGTCAGATCCAAATCATAGCCGACCTTTCAGGGGGCTTTCAGAAGCTGTAAATGTCACGGGAAGAGAATACCCATCTTTCTCCCCAGAAGAAGCGGTGGGTTCGAAACACTTACCTTTGGGTTGGCAACGTGGCTCTTTACCTATATGCCACCAGTGCTTCCTTGCAGAGAGTTCAGATAAAGTTAATGAACAGGCCCCGCTGAATCAGAAAGGTGGTGGGGCTGGCAGTGCTGGTGATGGGGCGGGCGCTCTAATTTGAGATCTGCAGGGATTAGAGGTTCTTTTAGCACCAACCCCAGAGCCCAGGGTGGAGGCATTTCCACCACTGTCTCTCCAGCTCACGTGGACCTGAAGCCGCAGGTTCGGGACTCTGGAAGGCGAGGGGATGGGAAGGGGACGCACCCGGCACCGCAGGTTCGGGACTGTGGAAGGCGCGGGTGT